AGGAAGGTAAAGAGGTCAAAACTGAGTTTTAGAAAGACCTTGAGCTAAGTCTGGAGAATAGAACACAGAACACAGAACCAAGAAAGTCAAGCCTTCTGGGATGCACTAGGGCACATCTGTAATCCCAGATATTTGGAAGATTAAGAAAGGAGGATGGAAAGTTTGAGGCCAGCTGGGGCAACCTAGTGAGAACCTGCCTCAAAACAAAAAGTTCTGGGGTTGTAATTCAGAGGTAGAAAGCTCCTGGGTTCAATCCCTAGTGTTAAAAGGGATCTGGCATCATGTTAATGTTACCAGGGGTCACAGTGTGTTTCTTGGTTCTTGTGATCTCATAAGAGAATTTCCAGCAAGACACAAGGTATAGTAGAAGAACAATAAAGTTCATTAAGAAAGGAGGCAGGGCTGGGGCTGTAGCTCAGTGGCAGAGCACTTGCCTAGCATGCATGAGGCACTGGGTTCAATCCTCAGCATCACATAAAATAAACAAATAAAATAAAGGCATTCTGTCCATCTACACCTACAAAAAAATATTTAAAAAAAAAGAAAGAAAGAAAGAAAGAAAGAAGGCATCCCCAAGGGAGAAGGTGGATCATTTCAAAGAGGAGACCCACAACTCACTTCTTGGTGAGTTCAGTGTTTTCGGAGTAGGGGAAGTTGTTAGAAGGTCCTACTCAACTATCCTCTCTTGGCTCTGGATGACAGACTACATTAGATTACTAAACCTCTGCTGATGTTTATATACCCATAGATATCTAAGAGAAACCCATGAACAGGAAGAAAAGCTATATTTACAATGATATTATAAGGCTATGCTAATAACTTAAGGGCGACTCTTGGTCATCCTGGCCCTGCTCACAGGTCTTAATTGGAACTGGTTTTACACAATTTATGATCAGTAGGCTCTGGTCTTAATTATCTGCTTTCCCAGGGACTCAGCATCTTGTGACCATCGTGAGCTTTATGGTTGTGTCATGTTTATCTTAGGCCACAGTCTGGTCAGCGTTGTTTGTGCAGGAACTTGCTGAAGATATTTTAGCAATTAGGTCCTTTTGAGCAATCATACTCTTGCCCTTTGGCTCTCACTCTGAGTTTAATTTGTCTTCCTCTTGTTGCAAAAGAAATAGTTTATAGGGCTGAGATCAGGAAAAGGTCCTTAAGCTTGTCAGACTTTGTGGCACCAATGAGGCAGGACTGTTGATTAACTGATTTGTTCTGTACTAAGTTCTTTCTTTTGTTGGGGGGTGGGGGGAGTTCTGGAATTTGTCCCAGGGATGCTTTACTACTGAGCTAAATCCCCAGTCCTTTCTATTTTTATTTTGAAATAAGCTCTCATTAAGGTACCTAGGACTTCACTAAATTGCTGTGTGAGCCTCCTGAGTCGCTGGGTCTACAGGTGTGCACCACAGTGCCCAGATATACTAAGTATTTTCTTACATCCCTGACCCATTGCTCATGTCTATCCAGTACCTAATACCATTAACACAAAACATATGTATATGAAACAAATATATATATTTCAATACATAAATGTGACACAATTACCTCTAAAAGAAATAATGTAGCCAGACATTTGCACCTTTATGTTAAATAGCCATTACTGTTAATAGCACAAGTGTTGATTTCAGGTATTGCTTTGAAGTTTCAACTTCCCAAAGCAGTGCTTTTGAGAGCAACATGATTTTCTGAAATGCTTAAATTCTGACAAACCAGTTTAACTGCATTCTGGAACAATTCAGGGTACACTTACGGTAGTCATTGTACCTTATCCAAAACACCAGCAGGACTGAACTTCCCAACTCTCTTCAAGTTGGATATGGCCACATGACTTGCTTTTGCCAATGAAATGTGCATAAGCAAAGTTTGGCATATTTAACATTAACTCAACATTCCAACACAAGAGCCTATGATCATTAGAGCAAGTACTCCTTCCATCCACATGGTCATGCAGAATGATGAGAAACTTACTTTTATGTTAAGCCACTGAGATTTAGGGATTATATGTTACTGAAGCATAACTTCCTGATATAATAATAAAACTGTTCACCTAAAAAACTTTATACAAAAACAGTTTCACCTACATAATGTCTAGTAACATTGGAAAGTCACAAAGGAGTTTGGACAATTCTTTGTGATTCCAGACAATCTTCATTTCTGTCTACCTCCAATAAAGAAGTAGTGGAATGCCCTCTATTATTGAAACAACCCAAACAACATCCCCACAAATTCCTATGAAGTAGGACCACCCCACTGAGGGCAGTGGTTCCACAAATGTCTTTCAAAGATCAGAGATCAGACAGATTGTCAAAATTGATGAAGTGGGCTGGACCAAGACTGAAACCCAGGGAGTGCCTGGGATTTTTTTTTTTTCTTTCTTTCTTTTTTTTTTGGTACGGGGATTGAATTCAGGGGCACTTGAACACTGAGACACATCCCCAGCCCTAGTTTTTTTTTTTTAATATTTATGTTTTAGTTGTAATTGATACAATATCTTTCATTTATTTATTTATTTTTATGTGGTGCTAAGAATCAAACCCAGGTCCTTGCCAGTTCCAGGGGAGTACTCTACTGCTGAGCCACAACCTCAGCGCTAGTTTGGTATTTTATTTAAAGACAGGGTCTCATTGAGTTGCTTAGCACCTCGTTGTTGCTGAGGCTGGCTTTGAACTCACTATCCTCTGCCTCAGCCTCCCAGGGCACTGGTATTACAGGCATGTGCCACCATGCCTGGTGTACCAGGGGTTTTTAAGGGGAAATGACACAATATTTTTCTTCACTGACCTTCAGTGAGGCATCTAAATCTCTTTGTCCTTCTGTGTACAACCTTGTAAAATCCAGTTTTAACTGCTTTACCTCAGTTTTTTGTTTTGTTTTGTTTTGGTATTAGGGATTAAACCCAGGGGTTCTTAACCACTAAATTACATCACTAGCCCTTTATATTTTTATTTGAAACAGAGTCTCATTAAATTGCTTATGGCCTTACTAAATTGCTGGGGCCAGCCTTGAACTTGTGATCTTCCTGCCTCAGCCAGGAGGCCTTGTTTTAAGTCAGTTTAACAAGAACCCCATCCTCCATATCTGATCAGGATCTTCATCCTTCCCTATCCCCCCAGTGATCCTGATCACCCTGGCTTGTCTTCAGCAAGAATTGTTAGGTTAATGAGGCCAAAATCTCCCTTATGATGTTTCTGCTTGGTAATTTTCTATCCTTGGCTATAAATTCACACTGGCTCCTGCCATACTGGGAGTTGAGCCCAATCTCTCCCAGTGCTAGACCTGGTTACAATGGTCCCTTTACCTGATTATTATTTTTCATTACAAGTGTCATTGAATACTTTTTGACAGCAGCCACCGCCCACCCCAATAGTTTATTACCAACAGGGAATACACACCAAATTTTCAAATCTTACAGTGATTCAAGAGAAAGCTAAAATCCAGACTTTTAGGTGAAATATCTTATTTCTAAACATTGACAACTTTTATCAAATATTCAGCTTTTTTTTCTTTCTTTCTTTCTTGTTTGTTTCATGGTCCAGAGCCCTCTTTTAAAAATTTGAGAGGGAATCTCACTAAATTGCTCAGGCTGGCTAGAACTTGTGATCTTTCTGTCTCAGCATTCCTAGTAGCTGGGATTAGAGGTGTGTGCCACCGTTCTGGCTCTTCTGCTAGCCCACATGCCTCACTTTACAGTGTTAAACGCTAGTGAAATTTGAGTTGTTATTTAGCCAAATTTCCTCATTTTCCGGATAAAAATGCAGACTGAATAACTAGGTGAGTAGCTCAAACTGTTTGGTAACTAGAGCCAGTGGTTTCTAACAATGGCTAACATCTGCTGTGTAGTCCTTACTGCAAAATCTTATTTAGCAATGAGGCCAGTCCTATTATTATCCTACTTAACTAATTAATAGCAAAACCTAGATCTTCTAATTCCCAGTCCACCACAGTATTAAACACTTTCCTGTCAAGCTGTCGTATGTACTCATTTGATTTAAAAGGAAAAAAATAATAATTTTTTTTAACTTATCTGTCCAAGTTTGCTTAGCTGCCAGTTTGGGGCTTATTCTTTTGGGGGGAGGGGCGTGGCTCAGGAGCACTCAACCACTGAGCCACGTCTCCAACCCTATTATTTGTATTTTAAATAGAAACAGGGTTGAGTTGCTTAGCGCCTTGCTAAATTGCTGCGGCTGGCTTTGAACTCACGATCCTCCGGTCTCAGCCTCCCGATCTGCCGGGATTTCAGGCTTGCACCACCGCGCCCAGTTTAGGGCTCATTCTTAAGAATGTTGCAGAAAAGTGGAAAATATTAGACAGGAAATGAAATTAAAAAGAGGAAATGGTATCACTAAGAAAATGAAGGCCTAGGGAGCCCATTATATTGCAGCCTGGGTGCGGAGTCCTGGAAGAGAGAAAGTTCAAGAGCAACTTCCGTGCAAGTAAGTCTTCCCAGCTGGTGGGATTATGGGGGTTTCTTACATGGTGATCTGTACTTTCCTGAACTTTTGAATGCGAAAGAAAAGCAAGGCGGGCGGTGAGAAGGGAGATAAATCTGGGGAACAGAAATAAAAGGGCTAGGAGGGAACTAGAGGGAACCGGAGCGCCAGCCCGCACGCCGGCCGCCGCCAGCCAGCCGGGCACGTGACGCGGCCAAGATGGCCGACCGGGAAGACGGCTGCCCGGCGGAGCGGGAGCCGGAGCCAGGGACAGGGTCCGCGTCAGAGCCGGGAGAGGAGTTTGAGATAGTGGACCGGAGCCAGCTGCCAAGCCCGGGGGAGCTGCGGAGCGCCGCGAGGTCCCGGGCGACGGCCGAGGGCTGGTCTGTGCCCATCCTGACCCTGGCGCGAAAGGCCACTGGGAACTTGTCGGCGAGCTGCGGGAGCGCTCTGCGTGCGGCTGCGGGGCTGAGCGGCGGGAACGGCGGCGGGGACGGCGCGGTGCGCGCAGGTAGGCTCTGCCGGGGGGGTGCCCCTGTGGTGCTGCTGCCGCGCTGCGCGTGGGTAGCTGGTCCCTGAGGCTCCGGGTCGCGGTGGGGTCCGGGCTGGCGAGGGTGTACGTCCAGTTCAGCTAGTCAGACGAGTTGTCAACACAAACAACCTGTTACACGCCTCGCTGCTCGCCGGCGGTCTTTACGCTGCACTGCTGAAACGGGATTCGGCCATGGGATTGGACAGCCTGAAGTTGGGCCACGGCCATTCGTCATTTTGCAGTAGTAATTGTACGCTCCAGAACAGCAGCACTTTTCTCACGGATTTGACTGTAGATAAGAAAAGGTACGGATTTAGATTTAAGTAATCTGTATTAACTTTTGAATACTTAAGTATCGTAGGGCGCGGTGGCGCACGCCTGTAATCTCAGCGATTTGGGAGGCGGAGGCAGGAGGATGGCAAATCTGAGGGCAGTCTCAGCAATTTAAGGAGGCTCTGAGCAATTTTCCGAAACCCTGTCTCAAAATTAAAAAAGGGTTGGGAGTGTTGCTCAATGGTAAAGCGTCTCTGGGTTCAATCCCCAGTACAAAAAAATAAAAACAAGAATCGAACACAATACCATTCTCTTGCTGTTAAAACTCAGAATCCAGTGGGTCTCCCACCTTCCTCCCGCGGGTGTTGAAAGAGCAAATGTGACTCACAGTGGAGTAAGAACAATAAAGTCGGGAGACAGTAGGTTTTGGTTCTCCTCAGGCACTGCCACTAACGGGAGAAGCCATCACCCCTCACACTTACAGTTTCCAGACTGAAAAAATGGGGATTTTTTTTTTTTTAATCACCCAGTGAGCTCTTGAAATCCATTTAAACAGCCGGGCATGGTGGCGCATGCCTGTAATCCCAGCCGGGATCCAAAGTTCAAGACCAACCTCAGCAATTTAGTGAGGCCCTAAACAATTTAGGGAGACTCTGTCTCAAAATAAAAAGGACTGGGGATGTGGCTCAGTGGTAAAGCGCTCCTGGGTTCAATCTCCAGTACAGAAAGAAAGAAATCCATTTAAACCCTTGTAATCTAATGTTTCAGCATGTCTATGAGAAGAAAGGAAACATTAAATGATTATGATATTAAGATTTGACCTAGTCCTATAAGCCAAATATTTAGAGCTGTGCTATCCAATACAGTAATCATTAGACCTGAGTGATATTTAAATGTAAAATTAATTAAGATTCTATTAAAATTGAATTTCTTGCTTGGCATGATGATGCTTGCCTATAATCCCAGCAACTAGGGAGACTGAGGCAGGAAGACACAAGTCGCAGACCAGCCTTAGAAACTTGGTGAGACCCTGTGTCAAAAAATAAAGGACTGGAATATAACTCAGTGGTACAGCACCCCTGGGTTAAAAGAATATATATTGAATTCCTTCTTCTTCTTCTTCTTCTTTTTTTTTTTTTGTTGTTGTTGTTTTGTTTTCATTTGTTATTTTATTTCCACATTTCTATATGTTACACACACTGGCCTGAAATTCACCATCCTTCTGCCTCGGCTTCCTGAGTAATAGGAACAACAAGCATATGCCACCATGCCTGGCTGATTTTTTTAATTGAATTTAAAAATTGAAATTGAATACATTTGGCAGTCCTATACATGGGTTCTGCATTCATGAATTCAACCAACTGCAGATGAAAAGTGAAGTATTCAGGGGAAAAATTGTGTCTGTGCTGAACATGTACTGATTTTCTTGTCATTTCCTAAACTATCATATGGAAGCTATATGCAGAGTATTTACATTGTTTTAGGTGTTATAAGTAATCTAAAGATGATTTAAATTATGCATAATTTTAGAGAAGGGACTTGAACATCTGTGGATTTTGGTATCTTGGGAATCCTGGAACCAATCCCCTTGTGGATAATGAGGGACACTATTTTATTGAATTTAACATTGAGTTCCTTAGTCACAGCAGCCACACTTTTAGTGCCTAGTAACTTGCATATGGCTATTGGATAGTGTATTGGATAGTGCAGTGTAGAACATTCACAATGGCTGTGGGGCAGAGCTGACTAAAGACTATAGTGCTTTCTAAGAAATACTGTAATGTGGGTTATGGATATATCTCAGTTGGTAAAGTGCTTGTCTCGCATGCACAAGGCCCTAGGTTCAATCCCCAGCACCAAAAAAAGAAAAAAAAAAAATACTGTAAGGTGCCTTTGCGGTTTTTTGATTCCCTTCTACCCACTGGTACATCTGTCGATGTCAGATTCAGGCAGTGCAAAGTAGGACTACAAAGTAAGGAAAGAGCCTGCTCAATCCAGGACTCCACTGCCCTCTAAGATGACCCCTTTCTGGAGACTTTTCCACATGTAAGTGAAAATTTGATTGTACAACAGTCTTTAGAGTCAAGACACAGGATCTCCTGGTAACCTCTTAGCTCAGATGACAAAGTAAGCAAATATAGTCATGCAGCCCTTAACAATGAGGATACATTTTAAGAAGTGCATTGTTAGGCACTTGCATCATTGTGTGAACATAATGTGTACTTACAGAAACCAGGGTGGTCTAGCATACTATGCACCTAGGCTGCATGGTATAGCCAATTGTTCCTAAGCTGCAAACCTGTATGGCATGATATTGTACTGAATACAGTAGGAGCTGTAACACAGTGGTTTTTGTGTATCTAAACACATCTAAAGTACTGTAAAATAAAATATAAAAGGTAAAAATTGTATACCTGTATAGGTCACTTAACTATGAATGGAGCTTACAAGCTTGGAAATTGCTCTGAGTTAGGCGTGAGTGAGTAATGAGTGATGAAAACTGAGGACATTACTATATGTTCCTGTAAACTTTATAAACACTGTATACTTGTACTGTACTGTGGGAGGCCAACCTTACGGGTGACTGAGTTACACTCCCCAGCTGGGTGCTGAGGCGCTCAGTCACAGAAATGGGTGTGTCTTGCTACAGCCCCATGGGTGAAGCTATGCTCACCTGTTCCTTTGTAATATAACCCCTTGCCCTGTTTAGGATAGAATCTTCCATGGAAGTGCCTTGTGTGTGTCCTCTCCTCTTACTGTGCCCTTGGGTGTGGCCTACCCAGGTATCAGTCAACCTGCTGACAGTGGACATCATGAAGATAGACTCAGCCCCTGAAACCTGACCCCTTGCCTCATTTGAATAGCTTCTCCTCAATAAAAGGGGTCAGTGCGTGCTCTCACTCTCTCTCTTTCTGCGGACCCTTAAGGTCAGAGGAGCCGTCACAGCAACCCCAAAGAAAAAGGTATTTGTGTCTCTTGTGTGGTTATTTCGTGCAGCCCAGTTAGCCCAGTTTAACTAGAGTGACCCCTGAGCCTTTTAGTCACGAGAACAGAAACCTGGCAATTGGCGCCCCACGTTGGGCGCCAAATTCCACCATGCGACCAGCGCACTGGTTTCATTAAAGAGGTTCTTGGCATAAAAGTTAGCTAGTGAGATCGAAATAAAACACACAGACTCAGTTACCTTTTTCTATGACCATGTCCGAGATGGCTTTCCCTCTGACTCATATCTCGAACCACCCGGTAGGGCAGCAGGGATTACTCAGGGCTAGCAGGAGAGAGAGAGAGAGAGCACACCAGGGAGTAGCCTTTTATTGGGGAACAAGAAATTCAGGGGAGAATTCCATCCAATGAAGGTTGAGGGGGGCAGCACTCCAAGGTCAGGGTCAGTGATTGGCCCCAGGGTAAGTGGTCAAGTCACACCCCCACACGGACAGGCTCTCGCACCAGGAGAGGGTCGGGAAAGCTCCGACACAGTTTAGCCAGAGCGCCTCAGACCCAAACCAGGAGTTGCCCAGTCACGTGTGAGAATGGCTCCCCACACTGCACTAAATTTACAAAAATTTTTTTTCTTTCCTCAGTAATAAATGAACCTTAGCTTACTATAACTTTTTTGGCTTAATAAACTTTAATTTTTTTTTTACTATGTGATTCTCATAATAACACATTACATAGCTGTGCAGAAATATTTTCTTTATATCCTTTATCTGTTTTTGAAATTTTTAATATTGATTGATTGATTGATTGATTTTGCAGTGCTAGGGATCAAACCCCAGGGCCTTGCATGTGCTAGGCAAGTGCTCTACCACTGAGTTACATCCCCAGCTCTATTTTTGTTTTTATTGATTTTTTGCTGGGTATATGTATTGATGGATTTATTTTGCTGTGCTAGTGATGAAATCCAGTACTTTGTATATGCTAGGGAAGTGCACTACCACTAAGCTACATCCCCAGCCCTATCTTTATTTTTATTTATTTTTTTACTTTTTAAGCTTTTTTGTTAAAACCTAAGGTTCACAGAAAATAGAGTGGTAATTACCAGAGCCAGGGATGAGAGAGGGTGATAGAAAGAGAAAGGTTAATGGATATGGGGTGCATTTTGATAGGAGGAAAAACTACTAATGTTCTGTAGTACACTAGGATAACTATGATTGGTAATTATTGATTTCTTTCTTTCTTTTTTGTCTTTCTTTCTGTCTTTCTTTCTTTCTTGGTGGTGATACTAAGGATTGAACCCAGGGCCTTATACATGTCAAGCAAACACTCTACCACTGAGCTACATCCCCTGCCTGATTGGCAACAATTGATTGAATGTTCCATAATGGCTAACAGAAATTTGGAATTTTCTCAACACAGGGAACTAATACTATCTGAGGTGCTAGATATGCCAATACCTTGGACTGGCCATTACTTTGTATATATGTATTGAAAAGTCACACTATATCCCCATAAATATGTGTAATTACTATATGTCAATTAAAAATGAAGATATGCTGGGTGCACGGTAGCCTGTAATCCCAGCAGCTTGGGAAGCTGAGGTAGGAGGATCACAAGTTCAAAGCCAGCCTCAGCAAAAAGCAAGGCGCTAAGCAACTCAGTGAGATCCTGTCTCTAAATAAAATACAAAAAAGGGCTGGGGATGTGGCTCAGTGATCAAGTGCCCCTGAGTTCAGTCTCCGGTACAAAAAAAAGAAAAAGATATAAAATACAATAGGGTACAGTGGCATATGCCTGTAATCCCAACAACTTGGGAGACTGAGGCAGGGGGGTCACAAGTTCGAAGCCAGACTGAGAAATAAAAATAAAAAGGGCTGGGGGTGTAATTCAGTAGTAGAGCACCCCTGAGTTCAATTCTCAATACCATAAAATAAAATAAAATACACACATAACTTAGGCCTATGCAAGGTCAAGATCATCATACCACTTCTTCCACCTCCCAATCTTATCCCACTGACACGTTTTTCAGGGGTGGGAACACACTTGGAACTGTCATCTCCTATGATAGCAATATGCCTTCTTCTAGAACACCCCC